TGAATTCCATGATCTTGTGAGCCATAAAAAAATTTAAGAATCCGGTAGGTATCTTGCAATTTTTCATGCAACTAACCGTTTTCCAAAAAATCGTAATCAACGAAAGTGGTCACGGCATCGGTTTCGAACGCAATGGAACGCTTACATACGGAGGTGATCGCATGTCGGAACGCATTTGAGAATGCTATTTCAGAGGTGCGGTACTGCAATACTTGCACTTGATTCGTTATTATGATCACAATTCAGATAATCTTTTGTTATTTACCCAACTTACAGTGACTGTAGCTCGAAGGAGGTGCATTTTAGGCCATCTCATTATATAAAGAAACATTTTTATCTTGATCCCAACAATACGTATATAAAATATTTACATCGAATTTTGAATCGCCTTGTATATTGAATAGGTAGTTTTTTCTCATTTTGTCCCTCTCCCCAAAAGTAGTCGCTTGATTCCAACAAAAAAAAATGCAACAGTTTACTTTTTTTTTTTTTCGTTATTTTGTTTTTTTTTGTTGCTATTTCAATGTTTGTACCTGTTGATATGTGATATTATTTGATTATTTTTCGATACTTTTTTCTTTATTTTGTTATTGGTTCCAAATGATGCACACATTTATTGAAAACAACGTAAGTTACGTGTTACGTATTGCTTTTTTTTCTCTAAATCCCCTCCCAGGGATGAATCATAATTACGTCACTGATTGTGTTCACAACACTACTATTGTTTGCTGATTTTAGTAATATGATTAGTGGCGTACCCGAGGGCGTACCTTACTATCGATTTATTTCATCAACAGTAGGTACTCAAAATACTGATAGGATTGTGTAGATAGGATTGTTGTGACATACTGTCCTCACCTCAGCGTGCAAAAATATCGAAACATTTCATAATAACATGAAAATAGTAAAAACTATTGTGTTTGAGGAAAGTTGTTAATTTTTTTTCTGTCATTGAAACGTCAGAAAAAATTCCGATTTAATTCACTGGAGAAAAAAATTTTCAACTAAAATACATAATTTGCTATGGTGATTTGTCAAAAAAACCCAATTTGGTTAGGTAAGCATTACTGGTGTGGAATTTTCAAATGAAATTCAGTCGATGATATTTTCGTTTCTGGTGAAATTTAGATCGGTTCAAGAATTACCATAAAATAAATCAGAAATGAAATTTTCTGGCTCACTAGCATTTCTCAAACATGAGAATAAAACAACAGGTGCCCAATATTCCTTGTAACTTATAAATCATGAGTTAATTCAGAATAGAATGAAAAATCTCAATGTTTTATTTTCTAGTTGGTGTTTTTCCAAAAATCATTATACCCAGACTTGATCTTGAAGTGAAACACAGATTATCTATTTTTTCAATTTTGTGAATCATTTAGGTACTTAATACGAGATTTAATGTAGCAAATCACAAAGAAAAAATTTCAAAATGCTTCAGAATTAGCTATTACAAATAATTGAAAATGCTAATTTTTGAGAAGCCAAAACAAAGAGCAAAGAAAATGATGAACGTTTCGTATACCAAACAAAATATTTTGAGATCAGCCGTATTTTCAGAATTGTGAAAGTTTCAGAAATTGGATTTTTTCAGTACTGCGGCAAAATTTGTTGAAGAAATGCACTAACATCTGATTTTTAAACTCATAGGAAATACAGGTAAATTTCATTTTCAAGGGGAACACTTAAAATGCTTAGTTTTACCCCTCCCCTGTACATATAATCAAATACCCTCGCAAATACCTATAACGCCACACAACACTCGATATCCTATGGACGTCCAATTAATGTCAAATTCATGTCAAAATGTTCTATTAATATCAAAAATTGGATAATCGTAGGATATCCACGACTGAATATCCTATGGATATCCGTCGATCCTATAACGCTGGATTTTCCTGCATTCAGAATGGTATGAAAATATCAGGACGGAATACTATTACTAAGATCCTCTCAGGAATACAATCCAATTAGATTTAAGTTCATTTAAGGCCAAGGACGGTTAGGATATGATACTTTCAAACCCCAGTATTTGTCATAGAAATCGATAATTTACCAAATTACATAACATCACGACATCAACATGTTGTACTGGGTAATCCAGAACAGAAAACATGAAACCATAATTATAAGAGATTATTATCCATGATGATTGGTCTATGAAATGGGTGACATCTCCAAGTTATTCCATTACGATCTAGATAGGAAATGGAATATCTGATTATGGATGACGATATTTATTAAAGTAGGAAATTTCAAACTTTCCATGGATAATTCACAAGGAATTTCTCGACCGAAACCAATCATGAGTTGATATCGCAGACAAAAATGAGAAAAAACTTGACTCCCCCCCCCTGAAGGCACAAAAATAGTAAAACAGTAAAAGACTTAGAAACAATAATGAATTCAAAATGTTATACAGTGTCATTCATAAAGTCTATCTATCTATTTCTGATTGCAACAAATCGACTAAAATGTTTGGGAGAGAATTCATTTCTAAATTTATTAACATATTCAGAAACTTGTTTTACTAGAATCTTTGAATCACTGGTATAGAACATAATCAGGCATCAACCTGTTGATATACAGTGTCATTCTTAAAGTCGGCATCATATGGGAAAAACTTTTATTAATGACTCATTTTGAAATTCGAGTTGGACGTTAAGTTTTGCTTCAAAAAAGATGAAAAATGGCCTACTCAATCGGGGTCACGTGACTATCGCTACATGTCAAAAGTGACATTTTTTCAAATTAATCGCTGAAAGTAGGCTTATTTGTTCGAATATCGAAAAAGTTTACTTAAAAATGTTGTTTCTATTTAGATTTTACACATGCTTTTCGAATTTGATCTTTCTATTGCAACTTTTAGATTTTGATTTTTTTTAATTTTGAGAAATTTCTGTAATATTTGAAGAATTGTTAATTCCACGAAACTACTTCATACCAGAAGCTTTTTCATGCTACTTATTTTCAATTACTCATTATCACTGATTATGGACAGAAATATGATTTTCCACAAAAAAAGATAATACCCGCTTCCAAATTCTGTTATGGTTGATGCAAAGTTGATATATCGTCAAGCATTTAGAAACGAAATTCATTTACACTGATTTTTTCAATACTGAAAAAATTAATTCAAATAAATTTCGTTTCTAAATGCTTGACTCGAACATGACAGAATTTTGATGTTATGTTTGCATCAAACAAACATAACAGAATTTTGAAGCGGAGATTATCATTTTCTGAAGAAAATCATATTTTTGTTGATAATTAGTGATAATTAGTAATTGAAAGTTAGTAGCATGATAGAGCTACTGGTATGAAGTAGTTTTATCGAATTTTCAATTTTTTTAATATTACAGAAATTTCGAAAATTTTTAAAAAATATCGAAATCTAAAAAATGTAATAGAAAGATAAAATCCGAGTCACATATGTAAAATTCAAATAGAAACAACTTTTTCAAGTAAACTTCTTCGATATTCGAACAAATAAGCCTACTTTCAGCGATTAGTTTGAAAAAAAATGTCACTTTTGAAATGTAGGGAGTCACGTGACCCCTATTGAGTAGGCCATTTTTCATCTTTTTTGAAGCAAAACTCAACGTCCAACTCGAATTTCAAAATAAGTCATTAATAAAAGTTTTCCCCATATGATGCCGACTTTAAGAATGACACTGTATATCAACAGGTTGATGCCTGATTATGTTCTATACCAGTGATTCAAAGATTCTAGTAAAACAAGTTTCTGAATATGTTAGTAAATTTAGAAATGAATTCTCTCCCAAACATTTTAGTCAGATTGGTTGCAATCAGAAAAAGATCTTTGGAAAAATGAATGGGAAGAAACCAAAAATAAACCTATAATAATTTACCCAAAGAAACAACCTCAGATACTTTACAGCATTGCAGTATTGAAATATTTCCCACTATTTATACACTCCTGCAGATAAAATCAAATTTTAGCCGATACCGATAATCGGCCGATACCGATATTTCAAATACCGATATACCGATATATCTCGATTGACTCCAAATGTGATATATCGATAAAATCAGCTCTTCAGGGAGAATCTAAAAATGCGATGAAATACAGGGTGTTCCATTTGAAATATCAATGTTACTACTACTTTCTAGTAGACGCGGCAACACTGCATTGTCTAAAATATTTTAAAAGAAAAGAGCGTATTCTGAAATATGAGCATGCACATTTTCATGGATTTCTCCCGACTGATTCTCGATATAAATATAGTGTAAGCTAGTCGTGACATACCTTGTATATAGTTTCCTTGGTATTTGAAATAATGTTATACTATGGATACCACTTTTTTAGACCCCATGCTCATCATATATCAAATTATCATTCGAATTGGATTTTAAATGGATCAAGCATTTGCTCAATAAGTCAAGCCTAACTTTGGATAGGCTAATGTAAATAATTAGTAGTTTCAATCTGTTGCTAGAACCAATTTTTCGCTGAAAATGAATTATCTTAAGCATATACAGGGTGGTCAATTTAACACTGTACACCACTGTTGTTTTATGAACATAAAAACTTTCAATACATTGTCTATAAAAATGTGAAGATTTGGTTGACTGCTCACAAATCTTAGAAATGCCAACATCAATTTACCAGATAATGTAATTCCATTCACTTACTTCTCCAATGAAAAATATGAAGAATTTTGATATTTCAGACACTCTTCAAGTTACTCATCTTATCATAAATCCTCAAAAAAGATTCACAACTGTTATTTCTCTGTAATATGGACAAATAATTCAAAGAGTACAATTGATGTATTTGGAAAATAACAGGTTAATTATAACATTATCTAATTCCTATCCAAATAAACACATTTTGTTCTGTAAACTATCAGCAATATGCATAGATTACAAACTGGCAGACCTCTGAGTATATACAGAAACATTTAATGAAAATGAATCTTTATTAATGTAATGCATATTCAAACAATCAACAACCAACCCAACTCAAGGAAACTTACCTTCATCAACATTCAAATCAGCAAATTTTATTCCACCACTGAAACAAAAATTAAAATCATGAATTGATTTCTTGCAGTAGCAACCAAAAAGAATAACACTTTGATAAAAATGATTAAATGATGAAATATATTTCTCTAAATTTTCTTCAGGTGGTTAAGTAGGTATAGGCATGGAATCCATGGTATAGGCAAGGGAATAGGACAAGCCTTGGTAAACCCATACCATACCTTTTGAACAAACTATCATTTTAGCTGTAAGATGATTCTCATATCAGTCATATATAGGTATATAAATTTGAATGAATATTTGGAAATTTATGTCAGCAAATCTCCAAGTAAAGGTAATAAAAAATGGCTTGTATACAATTGAAAAAAAATATAGAACTGAAGAAATAATACTAAACAGACATGCAACAATGATAGCAAACCCAAAATAATAAAAAACTATAGAACTGAAGAAATACTAAATAGACATACAATGATAGCAAATTCAAGAACCCAAAAAATAAAAAATAAATAAGCACATTTTGTTTTGTAATAGCCTATATTTAGATCAAAATAATGAAGTGTTTTTTACTCACCTGAGAAGTATTGATGCAGTTTCAGGTACTCTGAAGACCTGTAAAAATTATTCAGTGGCAAAAACTATGCTTATTTCCTGAGCACAGGAATAATATGAATTCCCAAACATTATCTGTTTGGCAACTCACCTTCCAACCAAGATTTTCGAAGAACGTGCATAACCTTGCCTGACCTGTAGTTTTTCCGCCACAAGGGCCTGAAAATAATTCAGGTATAAAAAATGAAAATTATAAATTAACCGAACACACCTCCTGTTAACACTAGTTTATACAGTATTATATCATTTTTCGGCTTTTCCATGATCCTAGATAACGCGCACTTTCAGGTTGATATTTTTGTATTTAAGGACCGATTTGAAAAGGAGGAATCTGAGGAACAAAAATTAAATTTGAATGTATCGGTTGAAAAATGTACGTATCATGTTTGAACTTTTTTACTTGACATTTTCATGGTTGAATTTTTCAATATTTCTTTGACGATGCAAATCCACAGCACACCGCACGCGGCGGAAAACGTGAACTCGTTTGATTCTTTTTGTCTCTTCCTCTTTTGTCTCGTTTTCGTTTTTGACGTTTCTGTTGTTTTCATTATATTATTGACATTATTGACATACACATCAGTCATGGGACATGACATGACAATATGACACCATTGACATACCCATGACAGATTACTTTGTTGACGAGCGTCAGACCAGGAAAAAACCATTGGTGTCGGCTTCATTCTGTTCTGACCTGACTGAAGGCATAAAATCATGGGGTGCGTTTTTCATTCCAACATTTTATCATGCGCATGAATCGAAGAAACCATCAAACTGTTGCAAAATTCCGCTGGAATGTTGATGGACATCCATCAAACTGTTGTACTAAAATGCGCACTTTTAAATCGCATTTCGAGAATCCAGCAGTTTGGAGGAGATTGACATGACAGTTGACACATTTCAGGGTTGTTTTTTGTTTTGATTTGATAGAAAACAATTAATATTGAGGATTTTTGAGATTCTTGAGAGATTTTAGAAGAAAGAGTCAGTGTTAATCAATAAAGTCGAATTAGCCTTTTCTGATTCTAAAGATACATGATGACTGACACACAACAAAATCCGTGTTTCCATCAATGTGTTGTATAAACCATTGTTCAATCCTTCCAGCATAAATTCCAACAGAACAATTGGTGACGTCACGACAAAAAACCGCATCTATCAGTGCGCACTTTCTTCGATGGAATGAAAAACACGCCCCAAATTTATGTAATATTTCTATAAATGGCCCATCGCCTATACGATATCTCAACAAGAATGGGACTAAAATGAGAGGTACTTTTTGAATCTATAAAGACGGAAAGTGAAGGATGGAAACAGCCATATCAAGGTTGGTAGAACTGATGATAATTTTCTACAAAAGTCATCAGTTCTACCAACCTTGAGCTATATTGGTTTGACTGACAAGTTTCGTATCATCTTTTCCCTACGTCGGCATCAACGCCTAATTCGATTTTGATGGAAATTGACGTTAAAGTCATCTTAACAGGGTACGGATCGTCTAAGGGACAGATCCTCGTCTCTCGTCTCCTCTCACATCCTTTATTCAGTTCTGGGGATAAACCATGGATAAACCATTGAGGTCATTGGCGTATCATATATAATTTCCATATGGAATTCCTGATTCAACTATACCAAGATATAGTCGAACAATCCTCTAGTTTTAGAGTTTACTACTCCAGCATAATCTTTGCGAGGTAGGGAACATCTGATTTGTACTGAAAGCTTAATATATTTCACATTTCACAAAAAGAGACTGTTCTTAGACTGTATACCAGGGTTGACTGAATTGACTGAAAGAATTCTGATTTCAAGCTGAGCAGTAGTTTAACTATGAGCTGAATGAGCTGAGCCTTATGATTGAGAAATGGTGAAAACCTCGATGTGGGTATCTGAACTACTGTACTCATGTCATGTGTGCTAAGTCAATTTTCGAAAATTCAACTCGGAGAAAAATTTATGGAGTGACAAGGAGTGACTAATTCTAGGACGAAAAGTAGGCTTATAAAAAGTAATTGACCATTCTAGAACACGCGATTTTGACATGGTTTCTTGAGGGGCACACAAACTATCTGTTAGGTTACCTTTGATGAGCATAGCCCTGCCACATCCACAATAAAACAATACTTTCACCAAACAAAATTATGAAATTCTTTCTGGTTCTTACTCGGATTCCAAGGAAAACGATCCCACTAATTGTGGTTTTATATGACAAATCTTTGCAAAAAATAATGTTTGCCCCTCAGCAACCTGTCAAATGACGTAATTCTGGAATGATTAATACGTGAAATTGCAGGAAAATGAAGAATAGAATATACTTTACCCCATGTTATACATATGATTTTTCCGTCTCCCTTGAATAAAAAGTCATTTCCAAATAATTTATTGATGAAAATAACAAAGAAGTAGGTATACAGTATAACTTATGGGCACGTTATTTTCACTCTTGCATCCTACATTATTCTCAATTTGTGGTAGAGTAATAATTATATAAACTAATGTTAAAAGTGCAGTTTTGAGCAGTGGTTATTTGAATACCACTAGAAGTGAGATCTGGAGCCAATGCAGTTTTCGTGATATTTTCATTAAAAACTTCAGTGACCCACAATTTGGTTCGAAATATTTTGCTATTTTGTGAGAGATTGCTGAAGTATCAAATACTGCTTCTCTGATCTGCAACAGAACATCACATATCAATCGAAGTACATTCATATCAGAAAATAAATATCATTAGATGAATTACATGGATGTTGAATCTGAGACATACCTGAATAATATATTCAACGTCCGTAACTGGATTGCTACATATCCGCTCTCTTTCCGGATAGTGTTTTTTCCAGTAGGCATCTTCCACATTTTCAATTACGTACGTGGGTTATATTAAGGACCTTCAAGGCCAAACGATGTGCTGCTCGGATCTAAAACTAAGGATAAATTTCAAATTTGAATCGTGAGACTTACATAGAATATTTGATATTGTTTTCAACGTTCGTAACTGGAACGCGATATATTTTTGTAATTCATCAACTAGCTCAATGAAGACGAGACAGGCAGATACACAACAATTTTCTCTGCAATGAAGAACACTGTATATACCTAACCCACCATGCGCCTACCTCCTTTGCAGAGAGGGTTTATAAACGCCGAGTTGATACTCTCCCCTCGTAAGGGTACCTGTCGTGTTTCCATAGAGACATAAAGGTGAATATCTGTCTTATCTGTTTCCTTGAGAATCTGTAAAGGATATCAATATATTGCCTTCCGTACGAATATAATGATCTGAATTCTGTAAAGTATACTCTGGTCAGGTCTCCTTGCACATCTTCTGTTCGGTTCGTCTTGACTAGGTGGTTTTCTCCGATTGAGTGGCAAGTATCAAACACTGCTTTTCGGATCTGCAACTAAACATCACATATTAATAGAAGTACATTCAAATCAGAAAATTACGTTTGTAGCTGGATTTCTACATATCCGATTTCTTTCCGAATAGTGGTTCTTCTAGTAGGCATCGTTCTCATTTTCAATTACGTGGGTTATATTGAGGACCTTGAGGCCAAAAAATATGCTGCTCGGATCTGCAACATACATACAATATAAATCTATGAAAAGTCTGGATATCGTTTTCAACATTCATAACTGGAACGCGATATATTTTTGTAATTCATCAATTCATCAACTATCTCAATGAAGACGAGACAGGCAGATAAACAACAATTTTCTCTGCAATGAAGAACACTGTATATACCTAACCCACCATGCGTCTACCTCCGTTGCAGAGAGGGTTTATAAACGCCGAGTTGATACTCTCCCCTCGTAAGGGTACCTGTCGTGTGTCCATAGAGACATAAAGGTGAATATCTGTCTTATCTGTTTTCTTGAGAATCTGGAAAGGATATCAATATATTGCCTTCCGTACGAATATAATGATCTGAATTCTGTAAAGTATACTCTGGTCAGATCTCCTTGCACATCTTCTGTTCGGTTCGTCTTGACTAGGTGGTTTTCTCCGATTGAGTGGCAAGTATCAAACACTGCTTTTCGGATCTGCAACTAAACATCACATATTAATCGAAGTACATTTAAATCAGAAAATTACGTTTGTAGCTGGATTTCTACATATCCGATTTCTTTCCGAATAGTGGTTCTTCTAGTAGGCACCTTTCTCATTTTCAATTACGTGGGTTATATTGAGGACTTTGAAGGCCAAAAAATATGCTGCTCGGATCTGAAACATACATACAATATAAATCCATGAAAAGTCTGGATATCGTTTTCAACATTCATAACTGGAACGCGATATATTTTTGTAATTCATCAATTCATCAACTATCTCAATGAAGACGAGACAGGCAGATAAACAACAATTTTCTCTGCAATGAAGAACACTGTATATACCTAACCCACCATGCGTCTACCTCCGTTGCAGAGAGGGTTTATAAACGCCGAGTTGATACTCTCCCCTCGTAAGGGTACCTGTCGTGTGTCCATAGAGACATAAAGGTGAATATCTGTCTTATCTGTTTTCTTGAGAATCTGGAAAGGTAATCAATATATCGCCTTCCGTACGAATATAATGATCTGAATTCTGTAAAGTATACACTGGTCAGTTCTCTTTGCGGATCTTCTATTCGGTCCTTATTTACTGGATGGTTTTCTTCGATTGAGTGGCAAGTATCAAACACTGCTTCTTGGATCTGCAACTAAACAACACATTTAAATCGAAGTACATTTGAATCAGATAATATCATTAGAGGAAATACATAGATGTTGAATCTGAGACATACCTGAATAATATTTTCAACGTCCGTAACTAGATTGCAACATATCCGCTCCCTTTCCGTATAGTGATTTTTCCAGTAGGCATCTTCCACATGTTCAATTACGTGGGTTATATTAAGGACCTTGAAGGCCAATCAATGTGCTGCTCAGATCTAAAACTAAGTATCAATTTCAAATTTGAATAGTGAGACCTACATAGAATATGAATCTATGAAAAGTCTGGATATTGTTTTCAACATTCATAACTGGAACGCGATATATTTTTGTAATTCATCAATTCATCAACTATCTCAATGAAGACGAGACAGGCAGATAAACAACAATTTTCTCTGCAATGAAGAACACTGTATATACCTAACCCACCATGCGTCTACCTCCGTTGCAGAGAGGGTTTATAAACGCCGAGTTCATACTCTCCCCCGTCGTGTGTCCATAGAGTGGTTTTCTCCGATTCAGTGACAAGTATCAACACTTTGCTTCTCAG